CCACGAGGCTCAGCCACCCTCACCCCAGCCACTCTCCCTCCCATCTCCTGTCTTCCCACAAACTCCTGCAGCTCCCAAGCCCTTAACCCTGGAGGCAGCCACCTCCCTCTGCTCTGGCTCCAGCAATCTGCCTCTCTCTGCCCACATGCCCAGGGAAAATGCTCATTTTCTAAGGTAGATCAAGGACAATTTTCTCCTTTTGAATACCCACAAAGAAGGGGGATGTTCTCCAGGGGTGATGCTGGACCTGAGGACAGCATCCCCCTGGGTGTAAGGTCCTGCTCAAGCACAAACACCCTGTTCCCACCCACCAGGCACAAATCCTGTGCCCCCAAAGCCGTGCCCTGAGCCCAGTGCCCACACCCGAGGTACAAGACAAGAGAGAGCAGAAGCCCAGCAGGCAAATCCCACATTTGGGCTGCAGATCTGCCGGATCTGCACAGCAAATCACAAGATCAAATGCTCTGGGGGGAGCTTTTGCTGCTCAGTCACAGGCTGGCTGTGCCCAGCAGGTTTGCACCTTGCCCACGCTGAGGGTGATGCCAGCACAGGGGGCTGGGGCTCTGCAGCCACACGTGGCTCATCCCTTCCTCTCCTTCCCACCTGCTGCCACTTCAGAATATCCTCAGAGAAAGGCTGAGTGAGTAAAAATTTTAAAAAATACTCCTGTTGATGCCCTGGCTCAGAGCGCACCTGCCAGGGAATCCAGGCACAGCCTCGGACCAGGAGGGAGAGGTTCCATTCCTGGAAGCGTTCTTGGGCAACATCTGACTCTTCCAGAGGCTTCCTGCCTCTGCAGCTCCTCCAGGATGTGCCATAAGCTCCAGGGAAGGAGCAGGTTGTAGGAACAGTTCTGTTTTCCCCTGTGAAGTGACCCTGCAGAGGAGCCTAAACCCCCTGTTCCTCCTGCCTCACTGCCCCTGCCCTTGCACTCAGTTCAACTGGGAAATTCTGCTTTTTCCTGAAAATAACCTCCCTGTTTTTCACACTCTTGCAGAGCTACCAGGAAAACAGAGAAGCTGTTGAGTGCTGACCAGAGGTTATCATCTGCTCTCCAGAGCTCCTGCTGCTGGCCCAGACTGAAACCCAGGAGCTCCATTCCACGGGGGAACTATTGTCAAGCTCTGAGACTGGGAGCAAAAAACAACCACAACCAAAATAAAAATCCTGGTTTTACCCAAAATCCCAGCAATATGATGTGGGGCAGGCAGTGTGGAGTGGATGTGCTCCCTCTCCAGGGTTTATCCCTGTGGCTGTAAATCCCTCCAGGCTGGCTGGGTGCCCAGCTCTGGGGGCACAGGGTGGGACACAGGCAGTGTCAGGATGCTCAGAACAGCCTGAGGAAGCTGGGATTTAAACCAGCTTGGTGCACAGAGGGGTGAGCTGGCTCCTGTCTCCCACGTGTGTCCCCGGAGCACTGAACCCTCCCACGGCACCACCAGCAGCAGGAGCTGCTCCCCCGCAGGAATGTGGGATCCCTCCTCCCTCTCTGGGGCTCAGGTGCCCTGTGCCCTCCCTGTGAACTCCTCAGAGGTGCTGGTGTTTAATTCCACACGGAATTTAAGGCTGCTACCTCAGAACCAACCATCCAGCTTCCTCCTACCTCACCTTGGATGAGATCAGCCCTCATCCAGGGACTTGCACAGCCTGAAGAGCAAAGATTCACCCCTGGATCATCCTGACCGCAGAGGAACTGCCCATGGTTTGGAGAACACGCACTGGAATGGCTTCAGAGCCCTCAGATGGCAGGCAGTGAGGCATGGCCCAGTGGAATGCCATGGCAGAGCCATAAATGCCCATCCTGCCCAGGCTGGGCATGGCAGACGTGTGGATCTGCTGCTTTGGTATCCATGGTGCTTTGGCATGTCTCACGTCTTTGTCTTCTGCCCGAAATAGATGAGCTCTTAAATATTACTCAGCACTTGGAGTTCTGCCACAGCACAGAAGACAGTTGAGAAAACACCAAAAATGTGTCTCCCAGAGCAGAGAAATATTGAGAGGAACTTCACTGGCTCTGTGCAGTGCAGGGGCACAACCCTCTGCACAGGGCAGGCTGAGGTTGTTTGGCTGAAGTGGAGGGTGTAACACAAGGGCTGGAACTGGAACAGGACAGAACCTGCTCATCTCAATGGGAATAGGAGAAAACAGGACAGAACCTGCTCACCTCAATGGGAATAAGAGAAACTAGCATAGAACCTGCTCATCTCAATGGGAATAGGAGAAAACGGGACAGAACCTGCTCATCTCAATGAGAATAGGAGAAAACGGGACAGAACCTGCTCATCTCAGTAGGAATAGGACAGAAGAGCATAGAACATATTCTTCTCAATAGGAATAGGAGAAAACAGGATGGAACCTGCTCATCTCAATAAGAGAAAACAGGACATAACCTGCTCATCTCAATGAGAATAGGAGAAACTAGCATAGAACCTGCTCATCTCAATAAGAGAAAACAGGACAGAACCTGCTCATCTCAATAGGAATAGGATAAAATACCACAGAACCCACTCATCTCAATAGGAATAGGATAAAAGAGCACAGAACCCCCTCATCTGAAGCCCTGGCTGAAGCTGTCTTACAGGTATTGGGTGGTGACTTCCAGCTGCACTCAGGAAATCTGTCACAATATTTCCCCAAACCCAACCATTTCAGGCACAATCCCCACGACAGAACCCCTCAGTCCTTTGTGACACGCCACGTGCCCCCTGTCACAGCACAGACAGACAATCAGGTCATGTCACAGACAAAGACAAAGCCACACACGAGCACAAGCAGGTCCTGCAGCAGGTGTGAGGGGTTTGTCACTCTCACCACCCAGCAGTGGGGGAATCTGCCATTAAGAAACTGGAAATGAACATTACAGCACTGCTCAAAAGCCAGGTGGATTTACAGGCAGCTGAAAGGTAAATTCTAAAGCCAGCCCATTCTGATGTCTATGAACAACAAGGATATTAATTTCTTCAGAGGACAAAGCCTTTTGTTCTGTTTGGAAAGCACCCCCTGTGGTGGATGAACAGGCTGTGTTCCCAGTGCCACTGTCCCCCCTTGCCAGGGCCAGGGAATGTGCTCTGGGAAAGGTGTGGAAACCCCTGGCCCACCTACAGGAGAGCAGAGCCCCGAGCCTTTGCAGCTAAAGGAGGAGAGGAGGTTTTCTTCTCGCCTGGGAAGGAGCTGGGAGCAGAATCTTTGTCCTGGGAGGTGCCTCAGGGGTGTGAGGTGAGGATAACTCACCTGCCTGAGACAAAGGGCTGGGTTTGCAGCCCTGCTCAGGGGTCTCCATGGCTTGGTGGAGCCTATCAGGACACCCCACTCCTTGGACCATCACTCCTGGGGCACCTTTGCAACCTGACCCTAAAAACACATGTTAAAATGAAAAATACGTCCTGATATAAAAGCACATAAAAACATGTCCTGATGTGGCCATAAACCTCCCTTGGGATGGGGACACCTTGTGTGAAATGTCACCAGGACTCCTTCCTTGAGCCTGTGCAGGTCCCAGCCCATCTGAGGCTCCTCTGCTTCCCTTCCCTCAGTGCAGAGCTGGACTGGGATTGCAGGGACTGGAGAACAAATCTGGGATTGCAGGGATTGGAGAACAAATCTGGGATTGCAGGGACTGGAGAACAAATCTGGGATTGCAGGGATTGGGTATAAAATCTGGGATTGCAGGGACTGGATTACAGATCTGGGATTGCAGGGATTGGAGAATAAATCTGGGATTGCAGAGATTGCAGAACAAATCTGGGATTGCAGGGTATTGGATCACAGGTCTGGGATTGCAGGGTACTGGATTACAGGACTGGGATTTCCGGATTTTGGGTCACAAGTCTGGAATTGCAGGGTATTGGATTACAGGGTTTTGGATCACAAATCTGGGATTGCAGGGTACTGGATTACAGGACTGGGATTTCAGGGTTTTGGATCACAGGTCTGGGATTTCAGGGTATTGGATTACAAGTCCCACGGGTGCTGCCTCAGCCTCAGTAAACTTTATTTAAGCACACACAGACATACACAGACAATATACATATATTTGTTTCTTCTCTGACAGTTCTACAGGACCAACACTACTTTGGATGACACCCGTGGAGAACTGGAAAAAGTGCAGGAAATGTAGTTGAAAAAATATAATAAAAATTAAAATACCAAGGTCCTTTAATCATTTGTGAGTCACGGTCATCCACAGAAACAACACAGGAGCGTTCAACCAGGCGAGCACGAGGACACAGCTCCACGTACAGTACATTGCTCTAGAGAGGAGTCTCCACATACATTGTGTCTGGGGGAGTACAGCAGTTGTGGGGACACAGAAGGGGACAGGGATGGCACGTGCACCCCCGGTGTCACAGCCAGGCCACCGGCGGCACTCGGGATGGGAGGACACTCCGAGCACTTCTGCACACCAGAAAAACTCACCAAACAGGCAACAGGGAGCACGGCCCGGGGTTGTGGTGGCACCAGGACGTGGCTCTGGTGGCACCAGAACGCCCTGGAGGTCGGCGTGTTTGTGTCAAAGCTGTCTCTGCACAGATATTTATATACAGTACATGTACACAGAACATACACACAGCAGCAGATGGAGATTCCTGTGGTTTGCTGTTTGTACATTATATCACAGGTTATAGGAACACAGAAAATATAGGCTTCGGGAGCTAAAAAGAAATAATTTTATAAAATATTCGTCATAACCCCCCCGTTCCCCCCACCATCTAAATAAAGGAAGAACTGAAACAAAAGCCCAGAAGTCAAAGGGAGGAACTCCAGCCCCGCAGTGTGGAAGTGGTCACTGCCTGCCCTCCCCTCCGGAGCAGCGGGGAGAACACAGAGCGGCAGGAGCAGAGCCGCTGCGCAGCCCGGGGCAGCCTGTACCGCCCTGCCAGGACCCGCAGGTCCTGCCCCAGCCCAGCACCGGCCCTGCCGCGCCTCGGGCACCCAGCTCCGAGCTTCGCATTTCAAACTATCGTTTCGGTTTATTTAGCAAAAAATGGTTTCCACTGTACCCTTCGTGTGTCCTCTTCCTAACGTGACAAACCCGGAGGAGATGAAATTGTGGAGATCTGGCCCTCCGCTGCGATAAATATCCTTTCCATAGTGACCTGGAAAAGGAAAAGGGAGCAAAGACACCTTCAGTCACTCTGTCTCTGGGCGCATACGTATATATACACATATATTTATATTTAAATATAATGTATAATATTAATATATAATATAATATAATATAATATAATATAATATAATATATAATATATAATATATAATATATAATATTTGTACTTTTGATATATTTATAGTCTCACATTTCCATATATATTTATACATGTACATATATTTTATATACATATATTTCCCTATATATTTATGTATATATTATATAATAATAATATTACAATATACTACTAATAATATAGACATATTATTATAAAATTATGTTAATATATTTTTACATTTATATATTTCTGTACATAGATTTATATATTTATATTAGTATTTACATTTATATTCTTTATATTTCTATTTAATTTTATTTTTATTTATTTATATGCACTATCCAGCCCTTCTGTCACCCTCACACACATTGCACAATTAAATGCACCCCAAGAGTGGCCTAGAAAATGACACCTGCAGCCACATCAACACCTGAATTCTTTGCTGGCAAAGATTTTTGAAGAACAACTGCACATGTTGGAAACTGCCCAGGAGGGAGCAGAATCCGAGAGGGGAAGCACCAAAATGCCAAATCCAAGAACCAAATCTTCGGAAATTGGCTCATCCTGGCTCAGACCCACCTCTGCTCTCCAAGGCCTGGTCCCAGAGGGGATCAGAGATCCTCCCCCTGAGGCACCCTGCTGCCAGGGGTTTGTCCCCAGGTGCCAATGTCCCCCTGCCCAGGCTGTCCCCGTGTCCCCACAACAGCAGCACAGCAAATTTGGGGTTTGGGACAGCTCCTCAAACCTCCTGAAAAGACCCCCAGAGCTTTCCCAGTCCCTGACAACACTGTAGTTTCAAGAGACACCCAGCTCTTTAATATTTTAATACATTAATAAAGGGAAAAAAAAGAAAAAAAGAAAAAAGCAGCCTGCCTCCCTGTTACCATACTCAGCTCTGAAATGAGGACACAGATGATTTTTCAGATACTCTTTATCATCTCCTCCCTTTTTCATGTTGTTAATTTTTCTGTTCCTATCATTCCAGGACGAGGCAGAGATAAGGAAGGTGCAGGGGGAGGGAAGGGGGGCGGCCTGGGGGGCTGCAGGGATGCAGCTGAATCCCAGGGAAATTCCACCTTTCCCTGGTTTCCTGCCCGAGCTGCGGTGGCAGGAGGTGCTGGGCTGGGGCAGAGCTGGGTGGGCAGCACTGGGCAGGACCAGGGGGGCGTCCAGCTCCAGGTGGGGTCAGCTGGGGCTCTGTCCTGCCTGGCCCTCACTGTTCCACCAAATCTGGTTGTTCCATCCCCATTTCAGGCTCTCCGGCAACACTTTGGGAATGAGAGAGGCTTTGGAAGTTCCCTGTTTCCCCTGCAGCCACCCACTGTCCCCAGAGCCCCTGCAGAAGGTACTGGGTTAGGCCAGCACCCACCTGCCCCCCGAGGTCCCCAAATGTCACAGAATCCCAGAATGGGTTGGGCTGGAAGAGACCTCAGAGCCCATCCAGTGCCACCCCTGCCATGGCAGGGACACCTCCCACTGCCCCAGGTGCTCCCAGCCCTGTCCAGCCTGGCTATGGGCACTGCCAGGGATCCAGGGGCAGCCACAGCTGTGCCAGGGCCTGCCCACCCTCACAGGGAACAATTCCTGCCCTATATCCCATCCAGCCCTGCCCTGTGTCACTGAAGCCATTCCCTGTGTCTTGTCTCTCCATCCCTTGTCAATTGTCCCTCTCCACATTTCCTGTAGATCCTTTCAGGTCCTGAAAGGCCACCCTGAGCTCACCCAAAGCTTCTCCTGCCCAGGTGAGCAGTGCCAGCTGTGCCAGCCTTTCCTGCCAGCAGAGCTGCTCCATCCCTGGCATCACCCTGGAGCCTCCTCTGGGCTCTGCAGCAGCTCCAGCTCCTCCTGGGCTGGGGCAGCTCTGCAGGTGAGATCTGTGCAGGTGAGATCTGTGCAGGTGAGGTCTGTGCAGGTGAGCTCTCTGCAGGTGAGATCTCTGCAGGTGAGGTCTCTGCAGGTGAGCTCTCTGCAGGTGGGGTCTCACCTGAGCCCCCTGTTCTCCCCATCAGGTCTGAGCCGGCTCCAGCTCCATCCCCAGCAGGTGCCAGGCCAGGAGAGGCTGGCACAGGCCCTGCCAGCCTGGGATGGGGCTGGAGAGCCTCAGAGGAGTTCCCAGGGCAGGCAGGAGGTGCTGACACTTGTGACAAACGTCCTAATAGAGAAACCATCCCACTCCCCTCCCACACGGGCTTTTTCTGGCCAAGGTCAGCCCAGTGCTCCCTGGAAATGTCAGCAAGCACACACGCGGTGTTTCCACAGCTCTGGGAGTGCTGGCAGCTCCCAGTTTTCTTCTCACAGCTGTGGCAATGCGAGGTGGTGGCAAAAACCTCCCAGCGTGGAGACATCCCCCAGAAATTCCCTGAGAAGAGCATCCAGAAAAAAGAAGGAAGGAATTTCTGCTCCCATGGCAAACATGGTGGGTTCTGTCCCTTCTCCTCCCAGCTCCCTCCTGCAAGCTCTGTTCTGGATTCCTGGGAAAGGAGGCAGAGCTCCGGAACTGTGGGTTCTCCATGAGATGTCTGTGCTGGTGCTCAGGAGCCTCCAGAGATGCTCTGGGGCTGCAGTGCCCCACTGGCTTTCCTTTTTCTCTACAATGTGCTGCATCTCTGCTGTCCAACGAGGCGATTTTTGCTCCTGCCCCAGGAATTTCTGTGCTCTCAGGGCCAGCCACTCGAGCAGTGCCATAAATTCCCTGGTTTAAACCAGGATAAAAGAGCCACACAAATATTGCTGCTACCTCCAGCTGAAGCCAGCTGCCTTTTACAATTCCCCCTGGAGAACCTGCTTAAGACACATCAAGAAGGGGAAGTTTATAAAAAAGCAAACATTTACTGGCAGATTGAGGATTCTTCATCAGCCATTTGCTCTCTGAACCTTGCTCTGCCCCTGCTTATGGAACATTGTAGTTCAATTAAAACATCCCTGTGATAACGAGCCATTAGCATTTGAACAGGAGTTGCATTTTCCCAGGAGAAACTCAAATTTGCAGACTTCAAGCAGCATGACTTTTCCCTTTCCACAGGTATATTACAGGATGCTACGTTTGCTTTTTGGTTTTTTTTTTTTTTTTTTTTTTTATTCCTGCTCACTTGTGATCATTTCTTTCAGCCTAGCAAAATTGTGGGAGATTTCTGGGAGTGATTTTTCCTTTCAAAGGGGCCTAGGGACTGCTGGGAGTGTTGTTATTCAATTTATTTGCCACAATCCCATCCTGAGCAGGGTGTTTCCCACTGGAAGTGAAGGGTCCCTTGGAGCAATCCCAAATGCCCAGCAGAGCAGAGGGAGCACAGACAGGGAAATTCCCCATTTCCTTCCCCACTGGAGTGGAGGTTTTCCCCCTTTCTGCCTCTCCCCGAGGTGCTGGGAGCCCTGCAGAGCTGCCAGGGGGGCTCAGCCATGAGCCGATGGAGCTGCCTGTGCCACGGGCTGGGAAGGAGCTCCTGGAACTCATCCCAGACCTTCCCCCAGCCCAGGCTGAACCTCAGCGTTGCCCTCTGCCCTGTGGTGAGAGCTGAAAAATGCCAAGTTCATTGAAAAATTCCTTTCAGATTCCTTGAGAAAGCGGTGTAGATGGAGTGATTTTCATTTTATTTCAGATTTCAGGGTTTTTTCACTGAATCACAGGATGGTTTGGGCTGGAAGGGACCTTAAAGTCCATCCAGTGTGGGAATGTGTTGTCAACCAGTAAGATCTCATATAATAATAATAATAATAATAATAATAATAATAATAATCTATAAATTATTATCTATACAATAGTACTGACCAATGAACTGAGTGAGAATGTATTGTCAATCAATAAGATCTGACATCATCATCATAACTATTATTATTATTAAGTATGATACTACTACTAATAATAATAATAATAATGCTCCTATAAAATATGATCTATATAATAAAGATTTGGCTTTTCCTGCATGAAGAAAAATGGAGTCCCAGCTCACTTATGAGAACACCCTTCTGTCCCCCCTCTCCTCTGGTGACAAGGCAGCAGAGTGCTCTGCCTGCCACACAAAAAAGGCAAATTCTTCAGGGCACGGAGCTCAGAGGGAACATTTCATTACAAAGGCATCCTCCAGAACTCACATATGGAACAACCTCGGCCACAAACTGCAATTACAACCCTGGCTCTGCTTTAACAGAATTATTAGAGCTGAACTAAAATGCTGTTATCCACCTCTTGGAAATGTTATTACTGAGCACAGATTACATCACCCCGAGAAGGGCAGACAGGGACTGGCGTGGACAGACTTTTGCAAGATGCACAGAGGTCTGACCTCAGCCTCATCACAAACTGCCCTGGGGAAAAGAGCCCTGCGCCCGGGGAGGAGCCCTCACATCCAGCTCCTCAGCACAGGCACTGCCGGACAGATCTCTGCAGGAAAAGGAAAAAATCCTTTCATTCTTGGAGGATCCACTGCCTCTCTGCTTCTGGTGCTGATCATTTCTTTTTGGTTTATCGAATCACAGGATGTCTACACATAACAGAGCTGGAGTGATCCTTTTGGAGCTGTTTCCTACATAACAGATCCTTTTGGGGCTGTTCCCCACATAACAGATCTGGAATGATCCTTTTGGAGCTGTTTCCTACATAACAGATCCTTTTGGGGCTGTTCCCCACAAACCAGAGCTGCAGTGATCCTTTTGGGGCTGTTTTACACATAACAGATCCTTTTGGGGCTGTTCCCCACATAACAGAGCTGGAATGATCCTTTTGGGGCAGTTTTACACATAACAGATCCTTTTTGGGCTGTTTTACACGTAACAGATCCTTTTGGGGCCGTTTTGCACATACAGATCCTTCTGGGGCAGTTTCACACAGAGAACAGCCCAAGGGAGGAGCTGCCAGAAGGGCTGGGAGGTGTTTGCAGAGTGCTCTGCACCAT